AGGAACTGGAAGAGGGGGCATGATGGTCCCCTGGAGCCTGAGCAGCAGTAGGAGAGCCACCAGACTCACAGGAGGGCGGGTGCTCAGCAGGGCCACCACCTCACCCGGAAGGTGTCGCTCCTGCTCACTTGATGCAGTGGGTGACGCAGTGTCCCCACTTGTCTCCTGCCCTTGTTTCCCGTGAGGCCTGCCATTCTCCGAACCCAATAGGCAGCCGTAAGCAAGGGAGGACAGTTGCTGTGGACGTTGACTTCAGCCTCTTGGCGTGGAGCAGGGTGGAGACTGTCCAGGCTGGGAAAGAAGAAAGGCTCAGGGGGCTGATGGACAGAGGAGGTGGAAGGGAGGCCAACAGAGGGTAGAGGCCCACGTTATTTGAGTGAATCACTCCTGACCCCCGATCCTCACGTTATGTTTATATCCATATGCCAGGAAGTGAGACGCAAAATTCCCTGACTCTGCTTGGGGAAATACTTGAATAGAATTCATTTGAATCCAGCAAGTGTGAGCTTAGGTTTTTTTTTTTTTTCTTTTTCTTTTTTGTAATGATACGTTTTTTAATTGAATTTTGTCGATAAATCAATAAGGTAGATATTATATGCTTGTTATTTGTGAGGCACAGCTAGGTCATGTGGGCATGTAAAAAGGGTGGGATCCGGCCTTTTTCCTTGATAATTTACAGGTAAACTGAGGGGCTCTAACATGAAGGTGTGAAAAGTTAGCGATGTAAGGTAATGCCAGGTACATTGGCAGCGCCAGTATAGGACAGATTCCTATTCGTCACACATTTTCTTCATCTTGTAAAAGATTACTCCAGTGGCCTTTATGTGACAAAAAGAAGAGCAGGTTTGGAAGCAGATTTTTGGCAGCGTAGGAAACAAAGTGCTATTTCCATGTTGTGGTTCAAGCCCCAATTCCTACCCCGTTTGGTTTGTTTTAGAAATGTGACAGCTAATTAAAGTGTTTGGCTGGCTTAGAATGGGCCTTAGGATTTCAAATGCATTTAAGTTCTTTAACTCAGCGTTTTTTTTTTTTTTAATGAAATCTGGAATATTCTCATTTTTTCGCTTTTTCAACTTATATTTTCAACTGTGGTTGCCTGTGGCACTGAGGTGCGAGGTGATTAAGTTGAAATGAGGGCTTTAAGCGGCCCTAATCCAATATGACCGGTGTCCTTATAAAAGGAGGATTTGGCCACCGAAGCAGACCCACACGGAGAAGGTGATGTGAACAGACAGGGACAAGGCCAAGTGGAGGCGGAGGCAGCTCGGAATTGTGCTGCCACAAACCTAGGAGTCTCCGGGGCCACCAGTGAGGAGAGGTGGGGAGGGTCTGCCCCAACAGGTTTCAGAGGGAGCCTGGCCCACCAACGCCTTGATTTTTTCCTTGTAGCTTCCAGAACTGTGAGAGAATGCATTTCTGTTCTAAGCCACCTACTTTTCAAAAGTTCACGTTACGACACTTCACCTTTATGAAAGACTTACTTTATTAGTACCTGTTTTTGCTAACTGAAAGAAATTCAAAAGCGATTTTCGCTTTTGCGAGAAAAGGCCAAGAGTGAAAACAGCACTCTGCTCTGCAGAGAGCCCTGGCAGAGGCCCTGGGAACAGGCAGGGACGCCACGCTGCTCCGGAGACACGCTTAGCGGCCCGTCTAACGCAGCTGTGCATTATCTCATTTCCTGTTGTGCATCCCTTAGCAAGATCTGCCCTAAGGGAATTGCTTTTTCGCTTTACGCCCTTACGAAGGTTCGCAAGGACTGTCTACTTTCAGATAGCAGGGAAAGCCTGTACTTTGTGACGGCCGGCAGCCCGAGAAAACAAATGCTCAGCTCAGAGTAAAGATGGAATCTGTCAGCAGCTAATTCTAAATTCTTTTCTAATCTATTAGAGAGCTATAAGAAGGTAAAAGTTAATGGCTACTAAAAAGATTTTATTTTGAATTTGAGACTCAGCTAATTTGATTAAAAACATTTTCATACTGATAGGAAGCAACCGATAATCTATTATAAACATGCCAGGTGACACAGAAAGAGTAGGAGAAATTGATCCCTTCTGCATAGTTTGAATTTCTGTGGTTCGTGTCTTCATGTGTAGCTCTCTTTATCCTGCTTGTGTATAGTTCTCTGTATCCTTGTAAGTAAGCTGAGCATGAAGAAATAGTCATTCTCATGTTATTAAAACTATCAAAAAGGATTGTAAATTTCGGATATAGAGATGTCGACATGGCCTGTGATTTAGACTGTTTCTGTATGTTGGTACTCTATCTAGGTCACCCTTTATTCAGTTAATACTTAAATGGAGATTTCTCCTTCATTTTGAATGCTAAAGATGAGCCGCTGAAGTACAGTCTAGGCTAGGTGGCATCGCCTTGTTCTACTGAGGCTGGGGAAGGTCATGTCTAGACTGTACGTAACGTATCGTTCACTGTGCATGTTCTTTATGGCTCTGATTTTAAAAAGGTTGCAAAAGTAATATATTCTCATAGAAAAATGAGATATATACTCAAAGTATTTTTATTCAGGGATTAGTGGAAGAATGTATAAAGAAGTGAATTTCATTTACATGACCAATATTTATAAAGTGCCTACTACGACCCATATACTGTTCTAGGCATTTGGGATGTATTAGAAAACAGAATATGAAAATCTGTGCCCTCGCGGTGATTCCGGTGGCAGGCCTGCTGAGGGCCAAGCTGAAAATGCAAGGTGGGATTTTTGCAGCAGGCAGTGGCGGCCGCAGTGCTCCCAGCTGGCCACCAGGCGGTGGCCTCAGACTGCAGAAAGGCACCTGGCTCCTGGACAACCCGGGCGGGTGGGCGTGGCACCCCATGCTGACCGAACCCTGTGGGGGAGCCTGTTTATGCGAACTCACAGTCAGGTGCTGTGCAGCTGTGCAGAGTGAGAGATTATGGCATTACCATAAGAAAAGAGTCTTTCGGGTGGTCAGATTAATTCCTACAGAATTTTACACACACTAAGGTTTATATCTTCTTACTGCGTTTGAGTAATGTGCAGTTTAATAATAGAAAAAAATTTAACTGCAAAAGATTGACACCACAGTAACTGTCTTAGTCCCTTTTCTCATTTGGTGTCTTTTTGTCCGTGACCACGTGCAGTTCGTGTTTCATGTGTAATCACAAACACCGCGCGTGTGCATAACGTGCTTTCACTAACATCGTGAGTGTCTAAGCGGAGCGCTGGATGTCGATTTCTCGTGTGACCAGGATTCGTGGGACAAATTGAAGAATTCCAGTGAAAGGCATTTGGTGGCAGAATGCACCCTAAAAGCGCAGAAGAGAGACTGATGTACGGGAGAAGAAATAATCCCATGTTACTTCACCCCAGTTTCTAAGAAACATCTTTTACGAGAAGCTTTGCCATTTTCCTAACCTCTAACTGAATATTTAGCTTTCTGTTCTAATCTCCCTCCGGGGGCACAGGGTGTCTGGGAAACGCCGAGACCGCCTACTCTGCAGAGCTTGCGGAATGCCCGCGCGCAGCGGCCCCCTGAGCTTCCTGCTCGGCTTCCTCTCTCGGAGGCCTGGGTTACACAGCGCGCCCTCTCTCTTTCGTCTGCACGTCACTGGGGGCCACGTTCTCGAGAGTGGAGCAAGGTCCCGTTCCTGGGGACTGCCCTGCGCGGCTGGCTCACTGCCCTCCGTGTCTCCTCCTCAGCATTCCCATGCTGGTCCCCGCGTCATTGCTGTGTGCAGTTCGTTTAGTTAGTGGTGAGAGACGACACTGTTGTCGCAAAGCGGTCGTCCTCAGCGTCCGCTCCCAGGCCAGCCGCATCAGCCTCGCCTAGGAGCGCGTGAGACATGCGGAGCCTCGGGCCCCTCTCAGTCCCGCTCAACCGGAAACCGAGGGCGGGTCCCAGCAGCCTGCTGGTGCAGGGCCTCCCGCGGACTCTGATGCACCCCAAAGTCTGAGGGCCACTGTCCTCGACTACCGGCACTTTGATCGGCGGGGTTCCACCCTTAGCTCTGAGCTCCCGTGCTCACGCAGCCTTGGTGCATGCCGGCATCTGGAGTGCTGATGTCTCAGTCCTGGAGATCAAGGCACTCAGAATTTTAGATTTTGTATTTCTTTGCCTTTTGAAGGTCAGTATTTCTGCAGCATAATACTTTTTATTTAGAATGATAGTGCTTTTGATTTTAAATTAGTTCATTTGTTTGATTTCAAATTTATTAACATGGATGTCTTTTGGGTTTGTCTTTGGCCATTTGAATCATTAAGCTCCGTGGTGGAGAGGAAGGAGTTCACAGTGACCACCTTTCACTGTGGCCTTTTCTTGTCTCCGTCACCGTGTTGTCACCCTCCACTGACTACTTCTGCAGCTGTTGCCATTGCGTCAGTCTGCCAGTCGGGCCGAGCTTTGTGAGTCAGCCCCAGAGGCACGGTCCCCTCCCGGAGCTGCCTTCTGCGTCTAATGGAGCAGGTACAAGTCTGCCCGTGAGGCCAGAGGCTTCTCAGCCCTGCCTGCCGTCCTTTACACACGTTCTGAAAGCCTTGGGTGCAGATCTGGTGGTAAAGTGAGGCCTTCAAAACAAACAGAACAGCGAAAAAAGTGCATTGTCCTATGGCCTAAACACCAACAAAAACTTAAGAAGCAGGACTTTTCAAATTCTGGTCACTCAAATGCAAATACCGTGACCTGAGAAATCAGCACAGGTGTCTGCAGGAGGAGGTTAGGGAGAACCGGGTGCTTAGGGGAGATTCGTTTTTTTTAATGTTTTTTTTCTTTTTTTTTTTTTTTAGGCGAGGCAACCCTTGGTTGACTTCACAAATTGCAAGGACCTTGTCATCTTACAATCTTTTATTTAAAAAATTCGTTTTACACTGGCAGTATGTGGTCTTCCTAGGCGGTCTCCCATCCAAGTACTAACCAGGCCTGATCCTGCTTAGCTTTTGAGATCAGATGAGATCAGGCTTGTTCAGGGTGGCATGGCCATAGACAAGATTTGTGGTTTGAAATATTGAGATGTCTGTCTCTTTTTTCTAGACCTGGAAAGGAAAGAGCACGAATTAGAGCAACTGAGAATGGATTGTGAGCACTTTAAAGCCCGCCTGGAGGCTGTGCAAGCCGACAGCTTGAGAGAGAAGAAGGTAGGGGCCCTGGAGACCAGTGCTTAAGATGGCACTGCTGTGGCCGTGGCCACTATTGTGCCTGCTAGTTTGCCCGAGGCGGCCTCAGGAGAGAGTGTTTTTAAATGTAAATATTCTGATCGGTTTGGAAAGTAGTTGAATGCTTGGATTTTATAACCCTTTAATGTGGACATTATTTACTTGGTGCCACTTACTGTTAATTTTTATGTTTAAAAGACCATTCCAAAACATAAAAATTTATAATATAAGAATCTTGAAAAAGAATGCACATAATTTATAATCAGAGATATATTTAATCAGAAATACATGTGATTAATTTAGGAGACCATTTACTGATATTTTAGAAATAACCGATTTTATTTTAATATTAAGGGAGATTAATAATATTTCTTAGAAATTACACATTTTTACTTTTTGTATGGAGTAAATTACTTCTGTTAAACTAGAACTATTCTGCCACGTCTGGTAAAATTTGGATCTTGGATGCAGTTTTAGTTTTGAATGGTAAAACAATAATTACCTTAGTGATAACAGCTAGTATGCGTCGCTTGCTGTGTGCTGGCGGGTGTCAGCAGCTGCCCAGGCCTTTCGCCTGCTTCTCAGCACAGCTGGGCGGCTCCATGTTCAGGAGCGTGTGGAGCTGAACACCTAAGGCCCTGCCTCCGGGCACTGCGGGCGGCCGCCATAGGCCGAGTTAGGGCGGCAAGCTGGACTCGCGGCCCTGCCGCTCCCGTTTCTCCCTCGATGGAAAGCCCCTCTCCTTTAAGTGTCCTGCACTCCCTCTCACCTCGCTAAAAGAAGAACCTAGAACATCGACTGTTCGTTAACTTCGAGGGCTGTCGGGCTAACTGCACTGAACAATTTGGCATAAGTTGATTGAAGTCTGTTTTTGTATGTTTATCTCTTATTTAGTAAGGACATGCCATCACCTTCTAAGGGAGTTTCAGGTAACAGGGAGTAGTGAACTTGGCGGTGGTGGCTGGGGAGGGCAAGAGGCCCGCGTTGCTCAAGACTCACTGGGAGGTGGACCTTGAGGAGTGCCCGGTGGTCAGAGGGGACACTGGGAGCACAAGTCACTATCTCTCTCCTTGGTGAGAGCCCCTGCTGAGGCTGGCCAGCTTTGTTCCCTGAGAGGCCGCTGCGGGGGGGCGGGGAGGGGGCGCCCCCAGGCTCCGTCGTCTTGTGGCGCTGGCACTTGCCTTCCGCCCCAGCGCTCGCCCGAGGCCCCGCCTTCTCCCACTCTCCTGCGTGGTCTCAGCTGTGTCCTGCGGCTTTGGACAGTGGAGTGCGCCACTTGGAGGTAGCAGGCTCCTTCATTAAAACGTTGCTCTGTGTGGACTGCTGTGTCTGTCACTTGTTCAGGCATCCCGGTTGGTGCTGGTCCTGGGTGTGGCCGCTCGGTCCTGAGATGCCTAATGTTTTCATTTTACTTGTAGATGAAGTCAGGTCTTCGGCAGTATTTACAACCCTGTAGTAGTAGCAGCTTCCTTTCTGAGTGTTAATTTTGTCTGTGAAGTTTATTTTTAAAATATGGATTATGGATGTGGTTCCACAGTGTAGTGGTGAGCACGTCTGCTTTACACACAGAAGGTCCTGGGTTCGTGCCCCAGTAGAGCCATGGTCCATGGTCTGTGGCCATGCCACCCTGAACAAGCCCAATGTCTGATCTCGGAAGCTAAGCAGGGTCGGGCCTGGTTAGGACTTGGATGGGAGACCACCTAGGAAGACCAGGTGCTGTAGACATAAATAAAAATAAAAAAATATGGGTTATGGCTCTGTGAGGACTAGTTTTCATTTAACAACCATTTTCTATAATTCGGTGTGTATTTTCTTTCTTTAAAACTTAACTTTGAAAGAGCAAACACGAAGTTCGAAGTCGAACGCCGTTCATCGTTGTCATTCTGTTCCGGTTGCAGGAGAAGCTGGCTCTCCGACAGCAGCTGCAGGAGGCGAGGCAGCAGCTGCAGCAGCAGGCGGAGTACTGCACGGAGATGGGGGCGGCGGCCTGCACCCTGCTCTGGGGCGTCTCTAGCCGCGAGGAGGTCGTCACAGCCATCCTGGGTGGAGTAAGCGTGACCGCGGGCGGTCTGGGTTGCCGGGCAGGGTGCACGTGTCTGTCTGGGCCAGGGCAGGCTGCATCCCTTCTTCCATCCATTCGTCAGATGGCGTTGGAATGCCAGCTGTGTGGGGTCCGCCGTGACCTGGAGCTCTGGATGTGTAACATGGATGGACTAAGAGCCTGTCTCTCCCCGAATCTGTGTGGCGTTAGGCAGTGGTACCACTTCAGTGTTATTAGTGGATGTTTGCATTTAACAACGTTTAAAGTGCTTCTACACACGTTATCCGTTGGGTAATGTAATATTTAACTTATTGAATGTCGTATGTTATTTAACACATGTGTGTCTGTAGCACACACACATGAAGGAGCTTCACAGAGGGAGAGAGATCGGAGAAGGGCCTCCATGAACTTGAGTAGGCCGTCACGGCAGAGAATGGGGCGGGCAGTCTGAAGTCTGGGACTGGGTCGGTTGTGAGGCAAAGTCGTGGGGAGACGAGACTTACGAGGAGGGGCGGAAAGTGCTTTCGGAGGACCGCGAATGCAGGGGGGTGATCTCATCCAGTGGGCGGAGGGCTGGTTCCTTGCGGGTTTCCGGGTAACAGTGAGGCAGGAGGAGAGTTTGGGGAGGGTCACCGTGACAGCGTGGGGCTTGGGGTCTGGAGACTGGACAGGGAGACTAAGTAGAATTCCAGTGGCCCAGGCTGGGGACGGCAGCAGAGCAGAGCCTGGTGGCTGAGGCCAGTGTGCTGGCCGGCCAGACCCCACGGCTGACAGTGAGAGGAACTGAGGAGGGTGGCTCTGGAGGAGTGGTGGCTCGTGACGGGAAAGTCAAGGGAAGGATGTTTGACGGGAGGCCGACGGTGAACTACTTATCACTTACAAAAATTAAAACTGCGTTTGACTTTAGGCGGAGAGACTAAATGTATTTTTAGAAGTTTGAACTTTATTGAGATATAAAGTCCGCCCATTTGTAAGTGTACAATTCAGTAGTGTTTAGCTAATTCGCAGATCTGTGCAGCCATCACTACAATCCAGTCTCAGCCTGTGTCACCCTTGTGTCCTTGGTGAATGCTTTGGCTTTAAACGATGCCTCAGAACCCCAGCCCCCAAAGACAGAGCAGCAGACGTGGAGGAAGTGCCAACTGGGAGCACTTTCTGCCGAGTGATGAAGATTGAAACTGCCAGAGCAGCCTGCTCACTGTCTTTCTCTCTTTTACATGTTGCGATTTCAGTGAAGATTTTAAAAATCATAACTAAAAAGCGGTTCTGCCAAAGGTTTGAAAACCTCTGGTTTCATGCCTAGAACGAATAGAGAACGCATTTTTTTAGTGTATTTCCGGGTGAATTTGTCCCAGCACTTCCAGCATTGTGTCAATTTTGAGCCGTTTCCCACTTAAGTATTTTTATTTTACTCTTTGCCTCAGTCTTCAGGGTAATTTTTCTGCTAATCATTCTCACTGTCTAGTAAAGTCTTTTCCCTTACCTTTTCTATAGAAACTTTAATGAAGGAACAGGTTTTCAAATGTCGTTTCCGTAATTAACAACACAGTCTGCCTTCTGTATCCTGCACTTAAAAAGTGTTTCCCTGCTGCTGTTTGTGAAAGGGTGTGATACTCTCATTTCTGAACTTGCAGGATAAAGCTTTGAAGTTTTTCAGCATTACTGGCCAAACGATGGAGAGCTTCGTGAAGTCACTGGACGGGGATGTCAGGGAGCCCGATTCCGATGAAAACCAGTTTGTGTTTGCCTTGGCCGGAATCGTAACAAGTAAGTCATTCTTTCAGGCGCAGTACCCATAGTTCTAAGTGTGTTCTTGAGTGGCGATAGTCAGCTTTTTTTACACGTAAGCATCTCTCAGGATCTTTCCCAGATACCTGGTAATCCGCGGGGTACCCTGGACCAGGTGCTGGAGTGTGCTGTGGCGCATCGCGCTGGAGGTTCTGGGCAGCAGTGTTGGTGCGTATGCACGACCGGGTTTGGGAGGCACAAGATGAGTCTACATGTTCTGTTCGGTCTGTGCACTGACCAAAGTCAGAACGAAGCTGTTTGTTGAGCTTGTTATTTGGAAGTAAATTGGCCAGCTCTGTAGAATGGGCTCTAAAGAAACCCGACCGTTAATCCATTGCTGTCAAGCATTTGGCTTCGGGCGGGACGAAGCGAGGGCGGGATTCGGGTAAGGCATGGCAGCAGAAATGGAGTGTGATTGTTTATTACCTGTTCACAGACCTTGAACAAATCCATGCCATCGACCATTAGGCATTTTAAAAACAGGTAACCTCAGGGGATTGCAGGCGTTGGTACAGGAATTATTGGTCCTTTTTTTACTAAGTTGATCACAGTTGGCCTACAGCTTTCTGTGTTTCAGCTCTAGAGAGTGTTGAAGTTTAGGCAGAGATTTAGAAAAACTATCTGGACTCTTAGCTTTTGCTCGTTATTTTGAGTTGGTTCATAGAATCTTTTCCTTTAGGGATTCTGGGACCATGTTTAATTTTTGGTTATTTCTTTGATTATACATAGTGTGGGCAAATTAATGTCAGATTGGTTATAATTTGTATAAAGGACAATTTTCTGAGACTTATAAAAATCATCCTTCTGTAGTACCTTTTATTTGTCAGTTCGTTTGCAAAATGAATCACTATCCCAGCAACTTCGCTGGGGTTGTGTCCTGCGGGGGGAGAGGGGGACTTCTCATAATAGCCCCACAGTCAGAGTTACAGGTTGGGTGAAAGCGAAGATGCTGGGAGTGAGTCTTGCTCCCCTGGGAGTGCAGCAGGGAGGGCGCTGGGGAGAAACCCTGAATGAGTTCAAGGAACAGGAACCGTGCTGTCGGATGAGCCACAGGGAAGGCGGGGACTTTGGCTGGAACTGTCTCCTTGGGGTGGGTCACCAGATGATAGCATTTGGCTGAAAGTGCCACTGTGCTACCATATGCCTGGCCATTGAGTTTTCTGTGACTGGGCTCCTGACAGCGGGCTGTGCTCCCTCCGCAGTGGAAACTCGTCTGACTCAGCAGGGGCCGGTTCCGTAGGCGACGGCGGGAGCAGATTGTAAGCGGCATGGGAAAGTGTCCCAGGAGTCACTCTGACATGGGGACTACCAGCAGCAAACAGAGGAGGGCAGTAGGCTCTCCCCTCTCGCCAGCTCTCAGGTCCCGGGCACTGCTCTCTGGCCTGGCTTCTGGCTGAGGAAGCCACACGCCGAAGTGGGAGACCGACCGAACCCTCAGAGCCGCTTCCCAGTGAGACGGGGAAGCCCACCAGCTCCGAGGGGTTTCCGCAAATAGTGTGTCCTGGACAGCTGGCTAAATGAATTGACAGGAAACTATCACAGCAAATGCAAAGAAATGCAACCCAGACAACAGACCAGGCACAATGTTAGTGTCCGAGGAAACTGGCTTATGTTTCTTTCAAAAAATATGGTGCAGCGTTAGCGCTGCAGACAAGAGGTGTGTAAGAACAGGTCCGGGACGAGCAGGAGAAACTAGGTAACCCCCTGAACGTGAGGACTGCACCCCATTGTTCTTACTTACTTAGTAACAGCTTCGCTGAGATATTATGAGACACTGTACAGCTTACCAGTTTAAGGTATACTATTCAGCGGCTTCAGTGTATGCAGAGTGTGCATCCATCCCCACAGTCGATTTTAAAACATTTTCATCAGTCACTCTCTCAGAAAACCCTGCCATTCCCCCCAGCTCTGGGCACCCACTAGTCTGCTTACTGTCTTTACAGATTTACCTGTTCTGGACATTCCATCTAATGGAGTCGTGCAGCGTGTGGCCCTTCGAGTCTGGCCCCTTTCACTCAGTGTAGTGTTTTCAAAGTTTATCCGTGTCGTAGCGTGGGTCAGTACTTCATTCCTCCTTCTGGCTCAGTAATAGGCCACCGTATGGCCGTATCACGTTTAGCCATCCGTCAGTGGACATTCGGGTTGTTTCCTTTTGGTTATTGTGAATAGTGTTGCTGTGAATATTCGCGTACATGTTTTTGTGTGGACACGTGTTTTCCTTTCTCTTGGCTGTGTGGCTGAGGGAGGAGTTGCTGGGTCATGTGGTGGGTGGGGCGCTACCGTGAGAGGAGCTGCTGGGCCACTTCCCGCTGTGGCCGTCAGCGGAGGGTGAGGCTTCAGTTTCTCCGTATACTCACCAATACTTCTCTGTTCCTTTTTGATGATCGCTGTCCAGGTCGGTGTGAAGTGATAGCCGGCTGTGGTTTTGATTCGCGTTTGCCTGACGGTTCGTGATGTTGAGCATTTTTCGAAAGAAAGAGCAGTGTGCTTATTGTCATTTATGTATCTTCTTTGGAGAGATGTCTATTCAAGTCCTTTGCTCATTTTAAAATTAAGCGATTCGTCTTACTATTGAGTTGTAAGAGTTCCTTGTGTATTCTAGATACCAGTCTTTATCAGATTTTCGATTTGCAAAAACTTCTTCTCGTTCTGTCGCTTTTCTTTTTACTTTCTTGAGAGTATCCTTTGAAACACAAAAGTTTAAAATTTTGATGATATCTAGTATATTTTTTCTTCAGTTGCTTGTATTTTTGGTGTCATATCTAAGGAAGCATAACCGTCCAAGGTTATGAAGATTTCCTCCCATGTTTTCTCCTAAGAGTTTTATAGGTTTAGCCCTTACATTTAGGCCTTTGATCCATTCTGAGTTACTTTTTGTATTTGGTGTGAGGTGTAGGGGTCCATCTGTTTTTTTGCATGTAAATATCTGGTTGTTCCAGCATTATTTATTGAAAAGATTATTCTCTTATCTTTTCTCTGTTCGGTTGTCTTAACACCCTTGTTGAAAATCAGCTGATCATAAATGTGAGGGTCTGTTTATAGAATCTGAGTTCTGCCACTGATCTGTGCGTCTGTCATTATGCTAGTACCTTACTACTATTTCTGTTGAAAATGAAACAAAGTGATTACAATGAAAACAAAAGTATCAGACATAATACTTCTCAACTCTATATCTTTATTAGCATACATAATTGACACCAGAGTCTCATTGCTTAAATTATATAATTACTGCAATAACTTATAAGAAAAATGAATTTAGAAAAAATAACTACATTGTAACAGAAAATAAACAAGTAATCCTTTATAGTCCTGGAGTTGACTCATAAGCGTCCCAGACAGATAAAAACATACTGGAGTTACCTGCGTAGGAATTTGTCCACCTTTATTTTAGTTCATGGTTTATTCTTTAGTTACTGATATTCAGTGAAATATAAAATTGGCATTTGCTATTATAATTCCAGATACGTGGTATGGGACTTCATTCACCAGTAAATTTGTTGGGCATTACTGCCTGCTATGATCATAATCATTTTTGGTCTGTAACTTTTTCTTCAGTGACGTGTTAGTGATGTTCCTGATGTCTGTCGCTGTGTGACTGAGCACTCCACACTTGATGTCCTTAAACGGTAGCAGTCACTTATCTTGATTACGAATCTGCAGTTTGCCCCAGTTGGCAGGGGTGGTTTGCTGCTGCCCTGCCATATCTGGGCCCTCAACTGGGGTGACTCACATCGCCGAGGGACCGGGACTCACATGGCCCAGCGGGGCCCTTTCTCCCTCTTCTCGTGTGGCCTCGGGGCTTCTGCACCGTTTGCTCTTTCTGTGGCCTCCATGTCACACAGCCTCAGGGTGGTCAGAGTTCTTTTCTGGCTCCAGCTCCTAGATCAAGTGGAAGGAGACCAAAGTGGAAGCCGTCGGCTGCTTCCTAGCTTGCCTGGTACGTCATGCGGTGTCCGTTCTGCTGCTTTCTGCTAGTCAAACGTGTCACAGGGCGGGGACACCCCAGGGTCTGCATCAGAGGCATGGTTCCTTGGGAGGTCACCTCTGGAAACTAGCCACCAAAGTTCATAGCTTCCTTGGGGGTCCCAATATGTGCTTGACTGTAGTTATGTGAAGAATGTTTTCCCCTGAAAAACTACCTCAAAATGGCTTTTATGAGTTTATGATGCCAAATGCGTTAAGCTTTGATTCTCCTCCAAAAATTGCTTTAGGAAAACTAGAGTGTGTCATATGCTAGAAAATAAAGTCATTGGGTTCAAATTCATTGAGCAAAGAAACTAAGTTTGTGCCAGCGAAGTAAAGTCGAAGCCACTGTGAATTACGTACCAAACAGCACAGCACCAATTTATGAGGCAGAACATGCTGGAAAGAGCAGCGGAAATGGGAACAAGTCTGTTAGGTTCTGGAGACTTTCATGCGCCCCACTTGGTCCTTCTCAGCCCAGGTAAATAAACATAGAAGCGTCTGTGGTCTGACCCTATAGTGTCGATCTGGCAGCACGGCGACGTTTTGTTCTGCCGTCAGCTGACAGCTGTGGAAGAGCAAGTAAGCCGTAGAGTTCATCCTCCGTTCTTGATACTTCTGAGCACAATAAAAGTGGAAGAAAACGTCCTTAAACTAGTAAAGGTGTCTGCCGGATTCAGCCATCAGACTTGACAGCATGTACTTGACACGCTTCCATCCAGTCAGGATGAGGGGCTGCTGCCCTGCTCCTCGTCCCCCGTCGCCACTCGGAGTCATGCTTTGTCGTTAGACCTAGCTCAGACAAGCTTACGATGTGCACTGATGTGTTGTCACAGGCGGCGGGGTCTGTTGAGAGCCAGCATGCTGCCGCGGTGTCCGCGGGGAGCTGTGTAACTGCTCGCTCTGGCCTCCATGCTGGTTCTGCAGGGCGCCGGGCACAAGGAGACATCATACTCGCTGGCCCACAACAGGATGGGCAATTTAGAAAGCAGGCTTTTTTCAGAGTGAGTTTTCCTATTCTTTTTGACCTCATGCTTTCAGTTTGGCCTGGTGGGTCAAAGTCATTAGGGTTTCACTTTCAGAATTGAAAGGGAGTTTTCACGTCCTTGATCTCAGAGGAAGGTATCGGCCCCCTGTCTGTTTGGACCCGGACTGCCCACGGCTGTGACTCCAGTGTTCGGGAGTGTGGTGTCCACGTGCTGCCCTGTGGCTGGTTGCAGACACCTTTCGATCCCTGCGCCCTGTCGCCCTGCCAAGGTGTCTGCCGAGCACAGAAGACACCGCCCACCGTCAGAGTGGCTGCTGTGGTTGTCGGCTCCTCCCCCTGTGCGGTCAGCTTTGTGGGTAACACTGTATTTTTTCTCCTTGCTGACCATTCATTGTTTTCGTTAGGTCTGTTAGAAAAGCAGCAACAGGTACTCTGTCTTGGACAGACTTTTCTAGATCCTCTAGCTCCAGAGGTTTTGATGTTGTCCTATCTCTCTGTTGCAGATGTCGCTGCCATAGCCTGTGGCCGTGAGTTCTTGGTTAACTCAAGCCGGGTGCTTTTGGACACCATGCTGCAGCTGCTGGGGGACCTGAAGCCTGGACAGTGCACCAAGCTCAAAGTGTACGCTGGACGACAGTAAAACGCTGCCGCGCGCTTGCAGAGTCGGACCCGGCTGCCCGGGCGGCTTTTTCAAGTGAATGCAGTTAATTTGGCAAAAGTTATAACAAAAATAGAAGGAACAAATTTCTTGGGGAATTAAGGGACTCACTATCTCTTCACTACTGTTTCAGTAAAATAATATAAACAAAAGGAATGTCCTCACCTGGGGGGAATCAGTGACTCCCACATGCTGTCATGTGACACTTCAGGGCGGTATTAATTACCTCCCAATGAACCTAAGTCCTTGTTACGGCAGCACCCCACTTCCAGGTACCGAAATCTGTCCATTCACTATTGTGTCACGACTCACCACTCACATGGTAGCTGAAACAGCACCTGCTTCACAGGTCTGTCGGCCGAGAGTGCAGTGGGCTTGACGGGCTCTCTGGAGGGTCTCACGTGGACCATCCCAGGTGTCGTTTGGGGCGGGCTTGTCCCTAGAGGCCCTGGGCGAGAGTCAGCTTCCAGGTGCGGTCAGGTTGCTGGCACTGGCCAGGTCCTTGTGTTTGTGGGACCGAGGTCCCTGTTTCCCTGCTGGCTGTCGGTGGGAACCACTTTCAGCTTCCGGGGCTGACTGAGTTCCTCGTCACATGCCCACTTTACCTTCATGCCCAATAGCTCACAGAACCCTTCTTAGGCTTGGGACCTCTCAGACCCCCTGCTGCGACCAGCCAGAGAAAAGTGCTTTCGCTGGGCTCGGGTGTGGCTGGGCGGCGCTGGGCGGATTCCCGTCGATTGACTCAGAATCAGCTGGTTAGCAAGCCTAGTTTCATCTGCAGAGTCCCTCTGCCATGTGACTTAGTGGGCGCGCAACTGTGTCCAGTCCCGGGGAGTAGGGCAGGAAATCGGGGGCCACTGTCGTAGTCTGTGTGGCCCACCATTCGTTTCCAGTGTCCGCTTCTTGGAGCATTTTTCGTAGTGGCCTCTAAGGCCTTCGTGAGATACTCCAGCGTCTGTCATCTTGGCCTTGGTCGTCTCGGGTGTCTTTTCCCATGTCCGTTGGTGAGTCTCCTCTTTCTTCGCGTGCCGGGTCATTCTGGATCGCATCCCGGCCGTTGCAGTGTTACGTGTGAGGCCCCTGGGCCTTGTCCGAACGCCGACGCTCTGTCAGAGCAGTCGGCCTGGTCTGGTGGGGGTCGAAAGTTCTGAGCAGCCTTCCCTGCATTGCAGTTTCAACGTCAGTTCCATTTTCAGAGAGCTCTCGCGGGCGACTGGGTCTGCCCCTCACGTGCCACCGTGGCCAGCGTGAGTCCTAGGTGGCAGTTGACGTTTTGCCTCTGGGAGTCTCGGGTGTACAGTTTATGACCAGATCAACGACTGTGTAGTCGATGAGGCCAGGAGTTTATAACAACCTTGTGGGGTCATTTTTTGGAGCTTTTAACTCTCCACCACGTCCTTGGTACTTGTCGGTCCCCCAGGGCTCCCCTTTTCAGTCCTTGCCCTGGAATGCTGAGGTTTCGGTGTTTGCGGGGGCCAGCCAACCCTTCCTCCAGCAGCTCCTGTCTTTGTGTCCTGCCGAGCTCTTGTCCTTGGTCTGAAGATGGGTGGAGACCCACCCTCGGGGAGACTTGCATACTCTGCGTACTCTCTCAGGGGTGGTCACCACGCCCACGGCCACCGCACCCACGTGCAGACCTAGCCGCGAACCCCTGGCGGTGTCAGCTTGTGCGGGCTGAAGCAGGTCTTCTCCCTCTGTGACCTTTGGCCGCCGGCGGCCGGCACGCGTGCCGTTGTGCACTTTCTTCCCCTGGAACCAGGACGTTTCTTGGGTTTCCTTGTGGCCTCTCCAGACCTTAACTGTAACTCGCCCCTTTCCTCGGGATCCTTTTCCTGCCGCCTCCACCATCAAAGGCTGCTCATTTCAGCATTGTGCTGCCTCAGACCCGGAGGTGGGAATTTTTAAGAGACTTCATGTTTTTTTGGAGCACTTTTAGGTTCACGAAAAGCCGAGAGGAAGACGCAGAGATCGCCCACAGGTGCACAGCCTCCCATTACCACCATCACCTGCCAGAATGGGGCATTTTCCTTAAACCAGGGATGAACCTCCACTGCCACGTCCTAATCACCCAAAGACCGCAGTTTACGTAAGGGGTCACGCTTGGTGCTGTGCGTTCCCTGGGCGTGCGTGGACAAATGTGTTACGACGTCTGTCTGTCATCAACACCACGCAGAGTATTGTCCCTCCCTTAAACATCCTCTTTGTGCTTCCTGGTCCTCTCTCCCCTGTCCTTGGCCACCACTGGGCTTTTCACTGTCTCCATAGTTCTGCCTTTTCCAGAACGTCCTAGAGTTGGAAGCCTTCTCCGCGGGGCTTCGTGCGCTTAGCAACGTGCTCTTAAGGCTCCTCCATGTTTTCATGGTTTGGTAGCGCGTTTCTTTTTATCACCGAATGACATTCCATTGTCTGGATGTAACAGTCAACCCGTTCACCCACCGAAGGGCGTGTCGGCCGCTTCCAGGTTGGGGGTCGTGAATGAAGCTGCCCGTGAACACCGCATGCAGGTGCTTCCCGCGGACAGGAGTTTTCATCTCCTTCGGCGAACACCGGCGAGCATGACTGCCGGGTCATGTGGGTCACGTGTCAGAGTCCGTTTGGTCCTGTAAGAAACCGCTAGCCTGTCTTCCAGAGGGCTGCGCCGTGCTGCGGTCCCTCAGCAGTGACGAGAGAGAGTCGTGCGGCTCCACGTCCTCGCCAGCGTTTGGCGGTGGTAGCGCTTCCGGTCGGGGCCGTTCCAGTAGGCCGTGATGGCGTCTCTTTCATTTTCATTTCCTCATGACGTGATGTGGAGCATCTTTTCATGTGCCTGTTTGTTAACTGTACATCTTCTTTGGTGAGGTGTCTGTTAAGGTCTCTGGTCCATTTTTTAATTGTTTTTCTTGGTTGCTTATTGTCGAGTTCTAAGTTCTTTGTGGATTTTGGATACAGCTCTTTATCGTATATGTCATTTGGACATATTTTCTCAGTCTGTGGCTTATCTTCTTTCAACGTTGTCTTTTGCAGAGGAGAAGTTTTAAGTTTTAATGAAGTCCAGCTTATGAAGATTTTTTTTCTTTGGGGATCACGTCTTTGGTGTTGTATCTAAAGAGGCATCACCACACCCACGGTCATCTAGGTTTTCTCCTGTTATCTTCCGGGGGTTTTATAGTTTTGCATTTTACATTTAGGTCTGTGATCCATTTTAAGTTAATTTCCGTGAAGGGTGTAAGGGCTGTGTCTGGGTTTATTTTTTTGCACGTGGTTTGTGTGCTCGCACCATCCGCTAGAGACCATCTCTGCTCCTCTGTGGCCTTTGCTCCTTCGTCAGAGATCCATCACTGCATTTCTGGGTCTGCTGTTCCGTGGAGCTGTTGGTCTGCTCTTTGCCAGCACCGCGCTGTCTCGACGGCGGTAGCTTTGGAGTAAGTCTTGAAGTTGGCAGATTCAGTCCTCCAGCTTTGGTCTTGTCCAGTGTCATGTTGGCTATGCTGGGTCGTCCACCTCTCCGTATAAATTTTAAAATCATTTTGTCAGGATCCATAAAATGACTTACTGGCATTTTGATTGAGATTGCACTGAATCTATAGATCAAATTAGGAGGAATTGACATCTTAACGATATTGAGTCTAATGTCCGTGAACGTGGAATCAGCTCTCCATTTATTTAGTTCTTTGATCTTGTTTATCAGAATCTTGTAGTTTTCCTCAAATGTCTTATGTGTTTTGTTAGATTTATATATAAATATTTCATTTTCTGGATGCTAACGTAAGTAGTATTGTGTTTATAATTTCAAATTCCACTTGCGTATTAACCCCGCATCCTACAACCTTGGTGTAATCTTACTGGTTCTAGGAAGATTTTTTTTATTTTTTTTTTTATTCTGGTGCTCAGTAAATGCTGCTAAATGAGCGAATGAGATGCAGATATTCATTTTCAGGGTCGTGGTCATACCTTGTATGTTGAACTCACACCGAGTGTTACTGTGCATTTGCATGGCCTGACACCTTCACAGGAGTGGCTTAATCCAGTCAAAAGAAATCTTCAAATGCGATTGGGTTTCTAAATTGTTTCCGATCAAAACGTTAGCAATCCTGGGCAGCAGGAAAGTTACCGTTAAGGACGTTGTGACGTAGCTCTAGGATGTTGATTAACAGTTGAATATTTTAAAGAGGAAAGTACTTTTGGAGGACAAATCTTAAACAATGTTCAAATTCCTTCGTTTAGAGTTGTCAGCATTTCCAGATATTAACAAAGGTCGACCAAGCTTCTAAATGTTTATCTGTAACACTCGGGGTCTGGGAACTCATGCCTGTTATTTTGCAGGCAGTAGAGCTTTCAGCCACAAAATGTTTAACGTCCACTGAATTGGTCCAGTACTGAGTTATAAATTGGTAGCTGGTGCTGTAACTATAATCTTAATTCTTCTGAAAGGCGTTTTTAGTGTTTCAGTCTTATCTATTTAGTTTGATCATTCTATGTACATTAAAAAAAAAAACAACAAAAACTCAAATCTGTATTCGACTCTTTCAGTAAGAAAAAGGCAAATACACATGTGGACAAGAGAGTTAATTAGGCTGTTCACAAAAGATCAGGTAGTTCACTGGCAAACTTCCTAATTGTGGGAAAGGTTCTCCACCTCGATTGTGATGCAAATTATAGCCATAATGAGGTACCTTTCATTCCAGCTCACTGAAAAAAATCAGAGCATGACAGTTCTGAGCTTTGGAGAGGCTGTGAGGCCAGGCAGAGCTTGCACCTGCCCACTCTTCTGGTGGGAGGGGGAGGGAGCCAGGTGGGCAGTATCTCTTGAGGTTGAATGTGCTCATTCCTGGGACAGGTGATGCACTTCCACGTGTGTACTCTGGAGAAAGTTTTACCACAATCGCCGGGACACTTGAACAGAAACGTGATAGCAGCCGTGTTGGTAATAGTACACACTGGGAAATTACCTACTGGAGAAGAGATTGTGCTCAGTTAATACTCTGCGACACAGCAGTGAAAACTCCTCACCGTAGGGTGGAAGATGACAGTGTGTTGCCGCTGATACAGACACGTCAGGTTCGGTGCAGATCTTGTAAACGTTTGTGGGAATACTGGGTCTCACCTCCTGGAAGTGAGTGTCCAGATGGAGTCCACAAAGGGCCTTCACTCTGGCGATGAGGTTTTCTTTCTTAAGCAGAGTGGTGAGCATGAGTTGTTCTTTGCGTCCCGTGTGTCTTCAGTGTTACATAGTCGATGAAGATTAACCTGTAGACATTTGATTAGGGTTACATAGGGCGTAGACCACAGGGTCTTAGGTTCTGAGTTGGGCGGGGCCATGACAGGAATCCAAGGCCTGCGTGTTAAGTAGTTAATTACAGCTCTGCTCCTTAGAGTGGGTGGGCCTCTGGCTGCAAGCTTCTGTCTGCCCTCTGGTCTGAAAAGTCTGCTAGCTGCTCCTCTCACGTGACATGCCACGCGTAGTCTTCTGTGAGGATTTCATTGCTCCTGGTTCCTGAGAATGACTCCTAACGGCTACTTTAGATTTCAGCTCGTTTTAGGTGATGCATCTGCCGTTTCTGTTCCTGGTGGGTGGGGGGACTTCACAATCATGCCTGATATTCTTTTTATTGCTGGTTTGTTTTGAAGTACTGGGTGTGTTTATTCTTCGTTGTCATTTCTTTTAAGGCAAAGAGTAAGGGAGTTGAGTTGCATCTCCTTTGTTTGTACTGGCTCAGACCGTCAGCAGGGCTTTCTGGCTTCTCACCTGGAGAAGCCGTTCGGCCCCAGGCCAGGGTGTCTCGGTGAAGGGAACGTCCTTTTATGGAAGGGGAGATGCTTGTGCTGCTTTTGTAGTGTTTCAGACTCTCCAGGACCTTTATTTTCACCTTGTTTTCATTCCTTTTATGATCGATGTCAGATGTCTCTCAAATTCTCAGACTGCAGAGCCTGGGAAGTTGTCCTTTTGGAGCCCACTGATCCATTTGTAACAGACCTTCTGCCTTGGTTCATGGTCAGAAGCAGGATCTGCCCACTTTTCTGTCATTGGTAGGGAGTGTCCGGCTCCAGAACTTCTGGAGTTTGGAAGTGACGTTTGCTTCCAGTATGTCAGCACGAGAAGAGCGAAACAAGCGGGCAGCCTCTCTTGACTTGATGTTATTACTTATAAAACACTTTTGGTTGGAGTAGAAATGCTGGGAGTAGCATAGGAAACTCATTCGGGTCTATTGATAGCTGAGTCCTCGCGGGACCGCGGACATGTAGCCTGGCAATGACTTGGGGTCTCATGTGGCAACATGGTCATTGCAATGACATTTGTTCCATCTTAGCTTCTTAATAAGGGCTGATTTTGACCAAATATGAAAATTTAAAGGTGTTTGTCGATTGTGAGTCATCTTTGACACCTTAAAATTAAAGGCAGTCCTTGGAAAATTTCAACTGGACACATTTTCTGGAATTTGCCCCATATTACAGTTACCACCCAGATGTTAGCTTTGTCTTTTAAGATCTGGAGAAGATTGGCTTTGCTTATTTTCATGCTCTACAGCAGAGGTGGGCGGACTTTCTGAGAAGGGCCAGCCAGGGCGTCTCCCAGGCCCTGTGGGCTGTGTCCCCTGCTGCGGTGACTCGGTCCTGCTGGTGGAGCGTGAGCGCAGCATCGACAGGCTGTAGGGCCCCACGGTCAATGTTGGTGACCTCAGGTAGGAACTTTTCCCTTTTGGGGGTACTGGATTAGAAACCTCAGAACATTCTCGTTAAGTGCTGAATTTTCTTAACATATATGATCTTCAAATAATCCTTAATAACTCAACAGGTTACTGGTGAGATATTCTGATGTGTGTAAAAAGTGTCAGGAAAACGTGAACGGGTTTGCAGTTGTGGCTCACGTTGTGGCTGTTGAGGAGGCTGAGCATCATGACGAGAACTGGACACTGCTCCCAAGGAGCTGGTGCTGGTGTCGGTGCTGGTGCTGGTGTCGGTGCCGACGTCGGCGTCCGCGTAGACTTCGCAATGCTCCCGGAAGCCAGAGGGCCTTCTCTGCGGCCCGCGGGGCTGCGGCTCAGCCCCAGGAGTCAGTCGCTTTTCCTGTTCACACGGAGAGGTCACTGGGGCCCTGGGTGGCACTAGCCCTGTGGCTGTAACGAGGAACAAGCACAGAGCTTGCTTTTGACAGTGCAGTTTAGTGGGGAGGCCAGCTGTTTTAACAGAGAGTGTGGTGAGCGCGCACCACTGTCCGCTCGGGTGGCCCCCGTGTGTGGGCTGCTGCTGCTGCTCTTCATCCTGCCACGCGCCGGCTTCCCTGTGTCCCGGGTGGCACTGTTACTCTCCCATCTTTATTTAAAATGTTGACATATTGTCTACGACAGGATTTTTGCAGTAGTTTTGATTTTTACACATTTTGCATTGCAATCTGTTTAAAAATCTTGGTTACTGAGCATTTTGGCACCACTTAGCCTTGTGCCCCAAACAAGTGCCTTCCCTGCTCACCCCAGGTGGCTCTGCAGGTTAAATGGAGGGTCGGTCGTGTGCTGACGCAGCCGAAGACATGCCGCGGACTCTGCACCCCCGTCGCTCCCTGGGGAGAGCTGATGCCCATCCTCGCAGGAAGCTCGCTCTCCCTGGCTCCCCTGAGCTGGATCCCCTGAGCTGGCCAACATCCGGGCCTATGCTAGCTCCGGGCTGTGCCGGCCCCCACTGCCCCCAGGGCTCCCTGTGCTGGCCCCCACTGTCCCCAGGGCTCCCGGGCAAGTGCAGAGCCACGCGGCCCGCTGGGTCCGGCACGCTCCCCTGCGGCCCTGGTGCTGGTGTCGGCGTCGGCCTCGGCCTCGCCGCGCCTCCTCCTGCCCGGCTCGCCGAGGTCGCTGCCCTTTCTCTGGCTCCACTCTCTGCCGTTTCTCCTCTCCCCGTGTCACCTGCCCTGGAGCTTACAGTCTGATTGTCGTGGTTTCTGGTGTTCTGTGTTCTTAGCCGGTTCCCTTTGAAGCGTCTGGTCATTATAACACTCGGCAGGTCCTTGATCGTGTTTGTAATTTCTTTTTGAATTCTTTATACCTAGTAAACAGATCCATTGCTATTGTGCCATTGATACTTCGTTTCTTTTGTTCTGGCTTTCATTGGCTCTTTGTGCTGTTTCTTACGATGGTGTTTTTCGTGGGTTTTGCAGTTTTCGCCATGAGCGCACATTCGTGAGCACTGTGTTTGGGAGGCTTCTCTGGATACTGGGTCGAGGGGCCTGTCCTTTAAGAGACAGTTTTGTTTGCTTTGGCCAGGCAGCCGGCGGTGCTCCTGTCCCTGGTCTGCTCTGTGTGTCCCAGGTACTGGCTTGTGGGTTTTCGGGCTGTAAAAAGTTAGACACTTATGCCAACCTTGAAAGCTCACTTTTCTTGGCTGTCCGCAGGAGTCGGACCCGAGTCCGTCTCGTGTGGGTCTGAGGCCTTTCCTTCTGTCTGTGTGCATGAAGCCACTGACACTTGAGCTCTCTCTGTGCTTCTGGAACCCCTCCTCTCCCCGGGTTTGCGCTCTCACTCAGTGCCTGACCAGCCATGTTTTCCCTTCCTTTCTGGAAAGCTCATCTGTTCTTTTAAGGGTCTGCAAAATATTCACGTAGCCTTTTCTCATTGCTTCGCAATGGGGGCTTTTAGGATCTCGGTGTTCTGCAGTATTGTCACAAACCAGTTCTGTGGTTTCCCAGCAGGCCGCTTTGCCGGCATGGTCAGTTCCCAGGACCCCCAAGACACCCCACTTCACCCGGTCCCGTGCTGCCGGCTGTGAGGGGTGGCCGTGGCCGGGCGCTCCTCAGGCCTCGTGCTATAGGCCGAGCAGGCTTGTCGCCTGACCGGGTGAGACAGGACCACATTTTAAACAGCCGAGCTGACCTTTGAGCGCGCGGTGCTCTCACGAATGGAGGGTGGCCCGTGTACAAACGCGGCTCGGCTACAGAAGAAGCGCCTCTGTAGACGCGGCGCGTGCGGCTCCCTGTGCACGCGGCCGTGGCACGAGTGCTGGAGGCTCCCGTCTCCCCCTGGCCTCGCAGAGCCGGGGCTGTTTCACACACCCTGTGCTCGCCGTTGCCGTCAGCCAGACAGTAGACTGGACGGTGACCGGCAGGTAGGGAGGGCCAGTCGCCAGGAGCCGTGCAGGGCGGCGCGGGCAGAGGGCCTCGCCTCAGCGTGCCTCCTTTGCCTTGCAGGTTACTGCTGATGGCCCTGTACAACGTGAGCATCAACCTGAAGGGCCTGCGGTACATCAGCGAGAGCCCGGGCTTCATCCCTCTGCTGTGGTGGCTTCTGAGTGGTAAGGAGGGGTCGCTGCACAGCTCCCCTGCGGCCGACGGGGGTGGTGATGGTTCGAACTTAGGGGCCTTTACATTCCGCATGCAGATCGTTTGTCCCCAGACGTTACCATTTCTTAAGATTTCAAATGATTTCTAGTTTTGTCTCTGACGTGTCGCTTTCAGTTTAGTTATGATTCTGCGACACAAAGAAAAATTACGAAACAGCTGGTAGCTGCCATTGACCTGTCCCTTCCCCTGAGAGCAGGACAGTGCGGGAGGTGCTGTCTGCACCCTGGAGAGCGGTGCAGTCGCAGGGGTACAGCGGGGGGGCGGGGGGAGAGGAGGTCTGAGATCCCGCACCTCCGAAACGCAGTGTGCACCTTTGCTTTCTTTGAAATAAAAGCTGTCCTGCTGTTTCCCTTCCTCTTCTCCCTACCGCTCATTTCCTCTGAATTTCTGCACCAGTCTGCTCATCATAATTTGTAACAGTGTGTGTTTAGTAGGTACGTATTTCACTCAAGGGTACAAAAAAATCGACTTTCCTTACTTTTTCATAATTAGATAGATCTCTTTTTGAGCTTCCATTCCATGTGGCGCTTACTTTTCGTACCAGGTTTTTTGAGGTATGATTGACGTGCAATAAGCTGCACATGTTTAAGGCAAACAGTTGCCAGCTTTGACTTAAGCATGCACCTGTAAAGCCACCACCCCGGGCAGGACGGCGAGCACACCCAGCATGCCAGGTGGCGCCTGGCGCTCCCTCCTTTGGCCGCTCACCTTCTTGTCCGCTCTGCAGATTATTTCCCATTTCTACAGTTTTCTATCAACAGAGTCATATGTTTTGTGTCATTTTTTGCCTAGCCTCTTTCTCTCACATAATTAGCTTGCGATCCATTCGTGGTGCTGTGTGTATTAACAGTTCATCCCTTTGTATTGCTAAATGCTGTCCTGCTGTGTGGACGTACCACAGTTCGTCTGTTCAGCAGCGGAGGGGGGTTTGGTCGTCTCTAGGTTTGGGCTGTTACAGTGAAGCCGCTGGGCACGTTTCTGTTTAATCTTTGCGTAGACATGAGCTTTCATTTGTTGGGTATCTTCCTAGGAGTGGAGCATCTGGGTCGCATGTAGACGTCTGTCAGTTTTCATGAGACGGCCAGACGGTTTCCCGGGAGGCCGCCCTGTCCCCGCGTGCAGTGGCTCCGGCCGCACGCGTCCTCTTCAGCCGCGGCGTTAGTTCCGGGCACACGCCGGTCAGGCCGGTCAGACCTCACTGCGGGCTCAGCTTGCACTTCCGTTATTACCGATGACTTCAGCATCTTTTCGTGTGCTGATTTGTCACCCATATTTCTTCTTTGATGAAGCGTCTGTTCATATCTTTTGCTCTTTTAGAAACAGCTGTGTTCTTGTTGGGCGTTGAGAGTCCTTTACGTTCTGCGTGCAGATCGTTTGTCAGAGGTGTAACTGGCACGTTTTCTCCCAGTCTGTCACTTTTTTTCATTCTCTTAAGAACATCTTTGAAAGACAGAATTTCTGAATTTTGTTTGTTTAATTTATCAGTCTTTTGAATCGTGCTTTTGGTGTAGAAATCTTTGCCTACCTCAAGATCACAAAGATTTTTTTTAGTGCATTTTCTTCTAGTAGTTTTATAGTTTTGCATTTTGCATTAGGTCTGCATCCATTTTGAGTTCATGTTCGTATGTTCGTATGGAGGTATGAGTCAAAGTTCTTTTTTTTCGTTGTATTCAGCTGTCTTGCTCTAACACCATTTGTTTTGAAGACTCTTCTCTGCCAAATTGCCTTTGACTTTGTTGAAAATAAAATGACAGCATATGTGAGGGTGTAGTTTTCGGACCTATGTTCTGTTCCACTCCTCCATTTTCATATCGTTATGTCGATACCATACTTTATTTTAAATTTTGAAGTCAGGTAGTATAAATCTTCCGATTTCGTTCTCATTTTTCAATGTAGTTTGTGCTGTTTCTAAGTCTTTTGCAGTTCCATATGAATTTGAGAATCAGTTTGTCACTTTCTACCAAAAAAAAAAAAATCCCATTGGGATTTTTATTGCGGTTGTGTTAAAGTGACAGTTCATTTTGGGGAGAATCGACATTTTAGCAATACCGAGTCTTCCAATCCCTGAGCACAGTGCCCTGTCCGTTTATCTAGCTGCCGTTGGGAGACATGGGTCTCTCCTATTTGTTCGCGTCCAGAGCAGAGGTGCGGACCTCCTTCGTTCCGGGCTCTCCTTGCGTAGTGAACACCGTCAGGGGATCGAGAGCCTGTGTCTCCAGATCAAAGAGGGGGTTTGTTTATACTCATGCAGGAAGGGTAACACTTTCCTCCAGGGCAGAGGTCGGACGGGCCTACTGCCCATTATGGAAGATTCGGGGTCCTCGAGCTCGAGCTTCCACTTCTGCAGTGCAGCCCACGGCTTGTGCTCAGCCCCGTGGAGCTGGGTGTCATTGAACCGACACAGAGACCAGCCCCTTAGGTACGGCTGCCACTGTCGAGTGAGCAAGCGTTTGTCTCGGATTCAGAAGTCGCGTGTCTCGCACCAGCACCCACGGCTCAGTAGCGTGCTGACTTGTTAGCTTGCACCTCGGGAAACACCTCAGACCGTCTGCGGTTTATGGGCAGGCCGAGGGGACCTGTGCTCACACTGCGCGCTAACCCTTCCCATCAGTGTTGAGACGTGACCCGACAGCTTATTTCTCCTGAGAATGTGAACAGACCCGTACATCAGACATGGGTCCTGAACTTGACCCGTGAGGTTACTGTTCAGGCTGGTTGTCACGGGCTGTATACAAGCGGACAATGCCCGTTAGAGGAACACAGGGATGATAAGAGGGACAGGCTAATTAAATATGAATGCCCACTACCATTTTTTTACTTTCTTTTTAGAAAATTAATTTGTTTTTAATTATAACAGACATAGTGTTATATTGGTTTCAGGTGTACAGCATAGTGATGCAGTGTTTACGCACCTTACAAAGTGTTCAGCGCAGAGTCCGGTCACCGTCTGTCAGCGCACATAGTTAATGGCATGTCACTGACTCCCTTGCCTGTGCTGCACCCTGCACCCACGACTTAGTTTATAACTGGAAGGTCACACTTCTTAGTCTCCTCCCCATTCTGCCCCTCCTCCCCGAACACCTGCTACTTTCTGAGTGCTGGCCACTGTTTTAAGTGCTTTACATGTATTCACAGATTTATTTCTTTAAATACGCTTATAAAGTAAATATTGTGCTTTCGGTTATAAAGAATTGGAGACACACAGAGGTGATGTAATTTGCTTAGAGTTATACAGCAACTAGTGGGGACCTTGACCGTTGGGCTCCAGGTCCCATCTCCTGGGCTGCTTCTCCGCACACAGGAAATGCCTTCGTCCCTGGGGACTTCTCAGCTGTACTTGCCTCTAGGTCCTGCTGAGCTTGGCCTCTGAGGCCACCCATCCTCCGTTCCAGCTGGCTCACAGCCGGGGTCCTCAGCGCCTCCTGCACCCCAGTTGTTTGTTTTCTCATAAAAAGAGGGCCTGAGGCTGACTGTTCTCCGGGGTCCCTTCCAACTCTGTACCCCAGGAGTTCTCTGAGCTGAGTGAAAACTGTTACGCGTTTCATCATGATTTATACAGCTCCCCAGGTAGCAAGTACCCCAGGAGCTGCTGTCCTGCCGGTCACCAGAGGAGGTGCTCTTTGGCTAGGTGGGCTGTTTCTGCTTAAGCCTGGTTGTGCACAGCAGGGCGGTGGGGGAGGTGACTCAGATCAACTTGTTGCACTGGGGCGCCAGGCTTTCTTGTCAGTGAAGATGATTATGGTTCTTTTGACACAGTGAGCACAGCCCAAACTCTAAAGTCTTTTGCGAGTGCTCTTACTTGGTATCTTGCATTATTTGTTATTACAGTCAAACAAAAAAAGTCCGTCAGGCCCAGGATGTTTGACCCGTGAATTGTGTGTGAAATGGCCTTAACTGAAAAATTGAAATTTGTTCTATTTTGGTGTATATTTTGGGAAGGTCAATATGTCTTTTACTACAGAACAGCAGAATAAGAGCAAATATTGTTTCCCGCAAAATAAGACGCGCTTCGTGGTGCTTGGTGCCACTGGTGTGATGGTTTTTAGGATCCTAGTTTATAAGATTGTTTAGGACGGGGAGAGAATTTGAAAACTGGTTTATTCTGGACAAATAAAACGCTCTTCTAATTTTCAAAAGGTGTAGGAAAAAAGATTTCCTTTCTTCTCTCGATAATCCGTTCCTTCTTGTATCGATCTTCCCACTGGGAAAGTCGATCTGTTTTAAGGAGCAGGGACTTTGGATTTGTTATCTACGACTGAAACCGCAGCTCTTCTCCTCGAGGACCGAGCTCTCCGCCCAGGGTCCCTCTGTCCTGACGGGTCTGCACATACATCAAGGCGTGTTTCTACTTCGAGCGTCTTAATGTCTGTTAAAACGCAGGAGTGCCTGGGCCGGCACCTCAGGTAGTAGGTGCCGAGTAGGTGTCAGTTCCCCGATGGTTTCTAATCTGAGTCTCTCATGCCAGAACGAAGCTCGTTCCCTTCTGTTTCGTTTGGCCGAAAGGTGGCAAGCCGCTCCCAAGGATCCGATTTCCCTGACCCGGAGCCACAGGACCAGCTGCCGTTAACCACCCGCACTAATCCTCCCGTTTCCTGGAATCTTTGCTGGGTACCGTTTTTCTTCCCTTTGTCCAGCCGTGTGGCTGGCTTTTTCCCAGGCGTTGTTCAGATTCCTCACATTCCTCTTAAACCGCAGAACTGGCAAAGAACTCCAGCCAATAGCTGAGGAGGACAGAGTGCGTTGGCATGGTGACCACGTGTTGTATAACCGTTAGTGCAAACGAGTGCTGTGGTGACTCTTACAGCAGTGCTGCCTTTCTTACCCACGTCGACAGTGTCAAGTAGCACGCGGGCGTTCGCGTCCCATGTTGCATGTATCTGGCTTGCCTGTGTCATATGAAACATTGATCAGTCCTACTAGATCTGTGTCCCCAGCCCAGACCTCGCTCCCG